GACCGGGATACCAAGCATTGCCGCAGCCCGTTTGCAGAGGTGGGCCATTAAGCCGTCGGCCTATCGTTACGACCTGATCTACCGTTCGGGCGCAAGCAACGTAGAAGCAGACTGCTTGTCGCGTCTACCACTTCCCCGGAGCGGCGAAAAGGAAGACGACGACGAAGTAACCGCCTGTTACGCACTTCGGTGGGAAACTTTCCCTATAACAAACTCCGACGTCGCGAGGGAAACTTCACGAGACCCGACCCTACGTCAGGTACTTCACGCGGTTACAGGACAATGGCCCGAGCGCGTTACGGATGAAGGGATGAGGCCGTTCGTTTCGAAAAATCTGGAGCTGTCGGTGGACCGAGGATGTTTGTTGTGGGGAATGCGCATTGTGGTTCCCCCATCTTTACAGAAGACAATCCTGAACGAGCTGCACGAAGGACATCCCGGCGTGGTGCGGATGAAGGAAGTGGCCCGCAGCTACGTGTGGTGGCCAGGAATTGACGGCGACCTGGAGAACACCGTGCAAACGTGTGCGGCCTGCCAGCAGCAACGGGCGCTGCCTACCCAAGCTCCCCTTCATCCGTGGGCTTGGCCTACAAGGCCATGGGCCCGGCTCCACTTGGACTTTGCTGGCCCGTTTCTTCAACGCAATTTTTTGGTGGCGGTAGACGCCCATTCAAAGTGGCCCGAGGTGTTCCTGATGCCCTCGACCTCGGCAGAAGTTCTGCAGTAAAGCAGTTCTGCAGTAAAGAATTTCAGTCATTCCTCAAAATGAACGGGGTAAAACATGTGCGATCCACTCCTTATCACCCATCAAGCAACGGGTTGGCTGAGAGATTCGTCAGAACAGTGAAAGAAGCCCTTCGCAAGGACGTCAAAGGCCGATCAATTGAAGAGAGACTGGCCAGTTTTCTTCTAGCTTACCGGAATACGCCACATGCAACTACCCAGCACTCTCCGGCTTCACTTTTGATGGGGCGACCCCTTAGAACCCGTCTGGATTTACTGAAGCCCAGCGCTCGTTCAGTGGTAGAACAAAAACAGTTCCAACAGACACGCGGTCGAAAAGAACTTCGGAGATTCTTCGCCATTGGTGACAGAGTGTTTGTGAAAAACTCTAGAGAAGGTCCAAGGTGGCTGGAGGCGATGGTGACATCACGCACGAGACCAGTCTCTTACGTGTTACAGGTGACTACACCACGTGGGGTCATGGAATGGAAGAGGCATCAAGACCACATACGTCCAAGGGAGGCGGACCGAGAGACAACGTCTGCCAACCACAATCACTGCGACCGTAGTGAGGCTCCCTGGCAACCGTCGGAATCGGCGACCGGTACTGAACCGTGCGCCGGGCAACTCCATGATCAAGCACCGGCCATAGCTGCTGACGACACAAGAGAGTTTTCCACAAGAGGCGACCCAGAACCACCCGGTTCTGAGGACCCAGATCACGACGCAGGGCCTTCGCCAGGTGACAGGAGCAGCGGAACCTCCACGCGATCTCGGTACCCAACAAGGGAAAGACGTCCCCCAGATCGGTACACACCAACGCAGTGACTGTGCCTACGCACCTTGTGGTTTTGTGTCCTGGACTGTTAACTTTTCCAATTATCTCTGTTTAAAAGCAAAACCGTTCTAGTTCTAAGTGTTAACTTGTGTATTTAAAGCATCATCTAGGGAAGGGGGAATGTAGTGTTTGTATTCCGATAGCAATCAGCTATGTCATCGCCACGTGTCTAAGCTAGGGCGCCGCCCCCCTTCCCTCTCGTCCTCTTTGCTGATATAAGCACAGCACGGCTTTTGACACAGGGAGTGTTTTAGGACCAGCGGTATGCGCGGTCTTACGGCTGGCTGTCAATAAAACCAAGTTGTTGTTACTACTCGGCTGGTGTCCCACTTCCAAGACACAACAATAGTGTCACGCAAAAATCTTTTCTCCGTTGATGTCGATTCTGATGTTACCAAATAACGGTTTATTTAAGCAATAGGAGATAACCTCCTTTACAACAAATATGGCCAATTCGTCAATTAATATTGGGGGAGAAATACGTAGAGATACTCCTATCTCTGGCGACTTCCCCTGCCGTCCTTCTCGACCACACCCTCAGTGGGGCCCCCACCAGTGCCAAACTCCACGAACCAAGCTACACACAAAGTTGGGCGAGCCAAACTCCTCCGCAGCCGTAAGGGGAGCCAAGTTCTAGAGATGGTTGGCGAAAGACTCCACGGCCGAAGGGGGGTCGGACGTGCAGGTTCGCCTCCAGAGGCAGGGTGATGTTCGGTGATGTCAAGTCGGTGCTCTTATTTTAATTATGGTGATGTTCACGGTATGGTATCAGGGGCCCGCCAGTTAAAAGGCTCGGAGCCCAAAGCAAATCGGAACATTCCAGAAACAAGGGCGCACATAAAACAGAACACATTCTAAACAAAACTCTCAATATCAGCTATAAACAATATTAAAGCACATTCCTAGACAGGGAAGTTATACACCGAGGAAAATTACCTCCGAAGTAGGAATCCCAAAAGCAGACATGCACAAAAAAACAAAAAAACACAACGCAGAGCTGCATAACCAGGTGTAAGATTACAATGTTCACGTTCGCCCCCATCTGGGGCCCTCCCGACTCCGGCAGAGGCCATGAGCCGTGTCGTAAAGACGAGCGAACCCCCCAAGAAAATAAAACAGAGTAAAGCTAGAATAAATACTCGCGGGAGTAAAACGTCGTGACCGCACGCGGAACATATTTTTATGTTTCATTTTTTTAAGTGATTTTGATAAATTGAGCCCACCCGGCTAAAAAAATTAAAAAAAAAACAAAACAAAAAAACACGAACAAAAAACGTCCCGATAGTATTGATTACCAAGCCTGCGCCCCGTTTTTTTTGTTTTTTTTTCGGTAGAATTTTTTTATAATGTTGTTTTAGGTATTTATTTATTTATTTATTTATTTCTTATCGATCTAGGTTGTCGATGTAAGATGCACCGAAAAACCGGCATTTTCCCGTAGAAAGCTCACATGTTCATCCTGCTATTTTATAAAGTGTATTTCCGCAAATCTTTAGTTATAGCTGGTCAAACAATACAAATCCGTCGTGAGTTCTTTATATAGCAGGAGTTTAGTCTGCACGAACATGGCGACATTGTTGTTTAGTCTAGATAAGCAATTTAGCCAGTGCAATACGACTCTTACCTTGGAGTCTTTAAAGTGCACTGCGCATGCAGTAATACGAGACCGAACGCCGGAACGACTCTGATTTGGGTAGAAACGGGCAGGGGTGGGGACTGAACCCAAGATCCTTGGGTCCTGCAGCGCGAGATTTCGCTACACGTGCTCCGAGCTAGCGTGGGCTAGTCTGCGCTAGTGTGCGCTAGTGTGCGCTATACTTCGTTTCAGTTTAATTCAAGACGCACCCGATGCCACAAGGACGAGCATCTGGCCCTGAACAGTGCTCGCACTGCACGAGCGCACGTGCTTTGCAGGGACGTTGAAAGCTTGTAGCTCGCACTTGTAACATCGGCTACGTCTAGAGTTAAGGTGCAACTCCACCCTTGGTTAGCGTGCTTCTGAACTAACAGATGGCGGGGGGATAGCCTTCTAGGCCTGTACATCAAAGCGAGAAATCGTGTTTGATGGCGCTTCGATTCATTGGGGTATTTTTCTGTAACCTGAATTTGACATCCCTGGTCCATAGCTTGTTTCTCTCTGCACGAGCTTTCTTTGGAACGCGCACGGCTGCGCCAATTCTCGTGCAAGGGCGGCAGTTGCCTACGCTCCGAGCTCACGTCTCCAGCAAATCTGGGCAGAACAAAGCGAGAAAATCGTCCCAAGTCAAATGGCGAGACACATGCACAACAAAACAACCGACGGGTTGAAAAATATGAAATTGCCTGAGCACCGTTATCGAAGATTTCGGAGGCTAATTACACATATTTTAATGTGATAGAATTTATATGTCGGGTCGGGCCTTTTTGTCGTGTATGTGTCTGGCTTTTAGTGGATTTGCATTTTGATGTCGTTGTTTTCTGCCGCGGTAAAAAAGGAAAAGCCAGACAAGCATTTCCGGCTTCGGTCAAGAAAAATTAAGCGAAACAAGCATATTCGCTAAAACATTTTCGTCTAAATCGTCATTCGCTGAAATGACCATTATTTGCTAAAACGTCATTCTGTAAAATGTCGTTTCGCTCAAAGGCCCTCTTTTCGCTAAAGTGTCATTCGCTAAAATGTCATTCGCTCATGTGATTCGGACACCTCTTCTAAAGTCGTTGGCATGTACCAGGGCCAAACTCAACGATGGTAAAACCACGGCAGTTAGTTTTTGAGGGAAAATCTAAAGAAATACGTAGTTTTGGGAGAGTATTCTGATGCGATAGATAGTATTATACAGCTCGTACGTGTATTTTACTTCTGTGATACGAGTCCTATATACAAATGCATCTCTATATCAAGATATCAATATTTTTCATAATGAGGTATAAATGTTTTTCATACCGAGATAGAAAAGTACCTCGATCGTATTTCGAAGATACCATAAAGCAACATTTTACTCGGTGTAATTTCCAGGCCTGAAATCATTCAAGCTTATAAAATTTATAAAATATTATTCCCTACTCAAGAATGAAAAGGAGGCAATGGTTGCGGTACTTCTAACCTAAGGAAACGTCTTCGACGAGTGTCTGCTGGTAACTTTCAAACCAGTATTCTTAGATCCAAAGACCTTCACATGACTAAAGTATACAATCATATATCATCTCCGCAGTAGTCAAAAAGGACATGAAAAACAAAAACAAATGAGTAACTATCAATTTTATAATAAAGACTATTTAAAAACCTCATGGTTATTGCAGTATTTGACTTATATTAACCTAAAGAGAAAACAAACGGAAGTCCAGTGAAAATGAAATATTTAGGAGATTGGAGGTGCGCATAACAAACGAATAGCACACCACCAGTTATATAATATATGTTCCGTCTCCATAAAATAAGAGTTGGACTCGGACAATAATATATCGCAGGCAATATAATTTATTTGGAGTTCCCACTCTATACAAGAAATGGGAACACAAACCAAGTTTGTATTCTGGAGTGTTTCTCTTCTTCGACGTTCGAGGATCCCAGGATATAGCTTCCTATTTCTGTAAGTAAGAAGACACAAATAAGTAATTACGGCACTTTTAGTAGCTCGCAGTCATATATTTAAAGCAATAATACTAGTAAGTATACGACAGTCACTTCTCCTCATTTAAATCTGATATCACGCTTCGGTGCATAACAAAAGTTGCTATAAGCACTGTGCTCATGAAAACTTTAAATAAAACAACTTATGAGTTATCTTGCTCTTACTCAAGTGCGAGTAATGTTATACATAAGAAAGACATAGCAAAGCGATAGAATAGCTTACACTTCTTCTTGCGGAGGAGGGTGGCGTAGTCTCCGTAAGAGCCAAGACCATAACCGTAGTTCAGGCCGTAGCTGGAGAGACCATGTCCGTAGCCGAAGTGTCCGAGACCGTATCCGAGGTGTCCAACGCCGTAGCCGTAGCCGAAGGATGGAGCGTGAGCCACGGTGGTGATGGCTGGAGCAGCGTGGTAGGCGGTGGCAACCTTGGTGACAGCTGGGGCAACAGCGTAGGAGGCGACTGGGGCAACGGCGTAGGAGGCAACAGCTGGGGCATGATGGACAGTAGACACCCGGGTCACCGCTGGGGCAACCGCGTAGGAGGCGACTGGAGCGACGGCGTAGGAGGCAACAGCTGGGGCATGCTGAACGGTGGACACCCTGGTAACAGCTGGAGCAGCAGCGTAGGTGGCGACTGGGGCAACGGCATAAGAGGCAACAGCTGGAGCATGCTGAACGGTGGACACCCTGGTAACAGCTGGAGCAGCAGCGTAGGTGGCAACTGGGGCAACGGCGTAAGAGGCAACAGCTGGGGCATGCTGCACAGTAGAGACCCTGGTGACAGCTGGGGCAGCGACGGCATAACCGCTAATACCGAGACCATGACCATAGCCGAGGCCGCTACCGTAACCAAGGCCGTAGCCGTAGCCAAGACCGTAGCCGGAGCCAAGGCCGTACCCATAGCCGAGGCCGGAGTAACCGAGGCCGCCATAGCCAAGGCCTCCGTACGCTAGGCCTCCGAAGCCAAGGCCTCCTTGGAGGTTGCCAGCGAAGGCACTGCTGGCCAAAGCCAGAAGGAGGCAGGCAGTGAGCTGCAACCAACGATAGTTTGAAATTAGTTTAAAATCTGTTCAAACTTAGAGCTGTATTGTGAATAACATTTTTGAATATTTAAACTTCATAAAATATATATTCTACAAACATCAGGACCACAAAAATGTGGGAACCTGCAGTATGCACTAACCCAAAGCATATGATCAATAACCTAGTTCTGCGCTCATATACATATTTGCCACGCAAAACATTTGCAATTTATCTTAGGAAGAATTCTGCAAATACTTTATCAGTGCTTTGAATAAGATCGTACCATATTTGTAAGCACCACGTCGCGAAATTTCTGTAGATCACTAGAAGGCGGTTTCTGAGCTGCGAGCTGGCGCACCGTTACATTCCAGATGTGTCAAGGTCACTGCTCACTGCTGGTGAGCAGTGACCTTGACATTAGAAGCTGCCCTTTGTCAAAGTCTGGCAGCCGTTATCCACCATCCTCATCAGAAGAAGGTAGATAACGCGGATGGGGCGTGTCAGCTAGGCGCGCTCATTCCCGGAATGTACCAGTGGTTAAACTGATTTGTCTGATCAGTGTACATCGCACCAGAGTGTGTGTTAAATCTGCTTGCTACGTTCCCCATGGTTGCCTGACTATCTATATAACACAGATAATATAAGTTTCTTTATAAGCTAATCACTGCACACGAGGCTTACACAAAATAAAGTGACACGGAGTTAGGGGATCTTAAAGCGAGATACTAGAAAATAGGTAAAACAGGAGTATCTTCGCTTTAAATACCCAGCTCAAAAATATAGTCTTATGAAAGAAAACTCACTCCAGTCATGGTGCTTATGGAAGATGCAAGTGCGTCCAACTGCTGACTACGTTGGACTTCTGTGCCTTTTTATAGGAAAAGTGCACGAGGAAAGGTAACTTCAACACGAAAAAAAGGCTATTTTAAATTCGAGAAAGGGAAATAGAGCTACATGATCTGAGGGTTAAGGAGAACTCCACAAAAACCTTGGCGAAGCGTTGTGTGCTGCGCATATTCTTAATCAGTTCAGGCCTAAGAAATTAAGCCTTCTAGTACAAATACGTGACTGGCACTAAAAAAACTAAAAAAACGTCACTAAAGTGACTGTATGAAACGTACTCCTCTTCGTCTTTTATGACATAGTGCAAACCGCATAGCGTGTTAACTTTTTTATTTTCCTATATCTCCTAATTTACTATTCTAATCATGCTCTCCTAGAGCCATTTTAACGTCTGTCTTGCATCAAAGATTGTTTTCTTATTTTCGTCTTGTAGCATAGATTGTTTTTTTACTTTGGAATATTTAAAACGCCCTGTATGATGTGTCATTTTAATAGTCACAACGAAGTTTTTTTACATAGGGATGTCTTGGTGAACTGTCATTATTATTTATTGATAGTGTCAGGTCTGGCCCAAGATAATATGACCTCACTCCCAAAGTGACTCGGCAGTAGCATTTCTTTTTCTAGCGAGGCGCTCCCCGGAAACATTGCATTGCCTATCGACATTATTTTTACGTGCGTGTGCGATATCGCGGCCCAGTGAGGACGTAAATGCCCCACGTTAAGTATTGCGTATCACATCATATATCTTGGAACGTGCGTCTGTAGCAGAAACAATGAAATGTGATAGTCGCGCGAAGCTCTGTCATTCGGGCGTTTAGCCGAATCACGACCAGATGCCACATTTTTAAGTGGAAGTCTAGATGTATTTCAAGGGGCAGAGTATTATAGGCAAATTTCAAGCTTTGCTTTGAAGTTGAGAATAATTTTCTTTTTTTTTATGGGCTGACAGCCGACGAAATTTGCAAGGACCCATTAAGTGTTGATTGTGTTCAGGCAAAATCAAATAAAATGTCTATCGCGCGTTGACAGGCGTGGTATCATTTTCCGATGGTGGTTTCGGTGGTGGTGTTTGATTGGCGTGAGGTTTTTCTCACGTGTTCTAGAAAAGATCCACGGGTTGTACAAAGATATGAGCGACATTAAATTGCCTGTGGTCTGTCCCGACATATTTTGGTAATTTATAGTTATCTAAAAATTGTGTAGCCAATAAAAACACAGAAACAAAAATTACAACATGCTCTGATGTGGCATCTATTGAGGTTGTATTTAAAGTATAATCCAACGAAGTTTATTCAAGGCATAGAACCTATATTAGCTGAGTCAAAGCCAGTATTTTTCAGATCTTTTATGATTTGCGAATGTTTCAGCAGGCACAATGCGCTCGGACAACAGGCTGAGAGCACTGCTATCTAACAGCTTTCACATGGGCGAGAGTTGTCGGCAAATATGATATCGTTTGCTGTTCTGTAGGAGAGCCCAGATAAAAAAAAAATATCAATCAAGGAGCCGAATCGGACAAAATATTTTTGCGAGATTCTTTGCGCTATTCACATAATGCCGCTCAAACGGTGGAACGTTTTATAAAAAAAGTGCCGTGCTTTTACACAATTATCAGCAGTTGTGTCATCTAGGACAAATCAATTTCAATTAATTATAAAATACTACTATATTTTTGTTAAAATGAGACGAAAGAATAATATGAGCAAAAGCTTCGCTTGAAGCGCAAGTGTTAAATACGTGCGACGCATTCGGCTAATGGCGTTTCGACATTACGAATAGATACGAGCGCTTCTGGGCAGTTTTCCAATAGGCGCAGGACGCATTAAATACGTGATCGCTTGTTGCCAATGCAGCCAATAAAGTCAAGAGTAGTGGTTCTCGATGCGATTATTTCTTCAGTTATCTTAATATCTTACAAAAAAAAAAAAAGACTGTGTTGCGTTTGTTTCGATGATTGGTTATTAAAGCTCTTTTTTGCATTTTCAGAACGAATCGCCGTCGAAATTCGTAAAAATACTCCACAAAATTATTTCCTTTACGAACATACACCCGATGAGTAAATTGTACGAAGGTGTTTCCGGCAGAAACGTTCTACCGAACAGTTAAAATAAATATTAAAATTGTGTTTATAATAATGTGGCTCCAGCGAAGCATATAATTTGTCACACATCTAACAATTAAAATTAAATAATATTCTTTCTACATGTAAGTAAAGAAGACAGTTGCGGGTTACGTGAATTAGTTGACCGAGTGTTTCTGTGAACGACACAAAATAACGAGGAATAAACAAATGATTGAATATACGCGTTATTTCAGTCGCTTTTCTCTCCCGGTTGATTCTGTGTTGTGGGGAGGCAAAAGCTACAAATAAAACAGTAATTATGAGCTCAGAGGCATTCAGTGTTAAGTCCCGCCACTGGAAGCGAATTCGGAAAAAAAGCTGGTGAAGTAAGTCAACGGGCCGATTTCGGTACTATGATTGGCGCTCTTTCATAAAGGTCACATCGCCTGATTTACAAGGGCTGAAAAAACAGGGACGCCCAAAGATTAGGCAAAGAAGCCTCGGTGCTTCTTTAGCCGTTTCCCATATTTTTTGTACATTTATTGAGTAAGAAAATCTGGAAGCCGGTTAAAGGCTCGCGCCTGAATCACTAAAACAAATTTCTCAAAAAATCTTTTTTTTTTTTTTTTTTTTTTTTACTTTTTTTGCATGCGTTCCTTGTTTTGCATCAGAAAAGCATATTTGTGAGTTCAGTGTTCCTCTAAAGCTGAATCAAGAATACGGAGCCTTTCTTGTCGTCACTGCATTACGAGTGTCTGTCTGCTCAAAACAGTTTATTTCTTTTTGGTCCGCTTTTTGCTTATCTTGCCTCATACTTCCGGCACGCAGATCTAAGCGCATCCGTCATTAACACCAAGTGGTTTGCCTTTGGGAAGCGCGCGAGCCGGCGGCGTCGTCTGCGTCGCCCATTTTGAGCCTCCACCTACCGGTTGTCGTCGTAGATTCGCGGGACGCAGAGCCCGTGTGCTACTCTGCGGCGAATGTAGGGTTCTTAATATGATGGGTTTTAATGCAGTTAAAATCATGGAACGCTTGTGCCGTTGCGAACGTTTGTCAAAAGAAAACTGGTGCATGAATGGGACCACAAGAATGATGTGAAACAATTCATATCCTTAAATTTGTTCTGGACAAAAGTAGATGCAACGGCTTCTTCGGTTCAGCTGAACAAAGTAAACGCATAAGGCACGTCAAATTAAGCGTACAAGTAAGAGGGTAAACACACATACATATATATAGCTTGTATTTTATTTTAACTCGAACACATGATACTTATGGCAAAGATTAGCCGCCTCTATGATGTCCCCCTGGACGTATAACTGGCCTGCCCAAACTGTATTAGTGCATCTTTTACGGATGTTTTGCGATAAATCTGTACGAATTAAAATGGAACACCCGGAATATATATACAGGGTGTTTCACGAAAGGTGGACAAATTCAATACTGCGAGAACTACGCGTCGCAACAAAAAAAAAAAAAAGGCTTCTGTCGTTTTGATCACGGCCCAGGGGCCTATTTATGAAGGTTATTAAAGTCCGGGATAATTAGAATATTAATTATTTTGCGTAGTTAATATTTTTAAGATTGTGTTTAAGGGCATGATTTCCATTAGAAAATTGGTGAGCATTATCGAAAAAAAAAAAATCAACAAATTGCAGAGCGATATGAGGTACGCGAAACCTTTTACGGCCTTCTGAAATACCGCACAAATTCGACGGGTATTTAAGTTTCGGTTTGCTATCGGAGCGCATCTCCGCCCCGACGCAAGTGCGTCCCTTGGAGAAATAGTGCAACCAGCCACTGCTGCGTTGTGCGAGGATAACGCAGCAGAGGTTGGTTGCACTATTTCTCCAAGGGGCGCTTTTATTTGGAACCCAGAAGATTGTTATACATCTAATGTTATTTTTAACCCAGGTGAACAGCTGATAGGGTGTCATAATTTGATTCTGAAAGTGACTTTGAAGGCTTGCCCGTGCTGTCATACGCTTCGCGGTTTTCGTTCTCCGTCACAACCACTTTTCCTGTGGGATGTAGCAAAAAAAAAAAAAATCCTCTCAGCGGAAATGTTGTATTCGTTGCCAACCATACATGGGAAAATTACTTTCAAAATGTAATTTAATTACAATTACAATTACTTAGCTCCCAAAGTAGTTTAACTACAATTACAATTATTACTATACGAAAGTAGTTCATTGCAATTACAAATTACTTTTTAAAAGTAATGCAATTACTTTACAATTACTTATTTCTGGGAGTTACCCCCCCCCTTGGGCCATATAACTGTAAACGAGTTATATGGCCGCTGTATAAATGTCACGCATTGTACTTTCCTTTTATGAAATTTGTTAGATTATAGAACTTAATAGTTTGCAGTAATGATCTCCTGCGTTCTTATATTGTCAAAAATAAAAATAAATAGCGACCAAATTCACAGGTGCGAGGTGAATCCCCTTAGACCTTATGCAAATGGTATCCAAGTCAAACCAACAAAAACTAAACTTAAAAATAATACAAGGAAACAAATATGCGACCGTACTGGTATCATAAACCTCACGTAAAAATAGCTATTAAGAGAAACTTGTAAACGACGTCAAATATTTAAGGAATACGACAACTTACGAAAACATTTCAGCCACGATGATTCGCTGCCTCTCCCTGTCTGTCGACTTGTAACATGCCGGATGTGGGTAACCGTAGCACGCAAACTGTGGTCGCTTCCACAAAACTAGTGTTACAATAGCAGCAACTCTATTGCGAGGGATTCTGGGTTAATTCAGTGCACGGTAACACTCAAAAAGCTCCTGAGATAGATATTAAATTTAGGACCGTCATGTAATCATCCCAGGTAGCACACCGCGTCGGCCGGTATCGGGACTACGCCGGCCGGTCCTGGTAACAGGATGGCGGCGCCCGGCCATTGGCGCCGGTGAGCTACC